ATTGTGAAGTGCATCCATGTTAGCAGAAATTAAGTCTCAAGAAAACCGGATTCTAATTTAGAAGAAAAAGAAAAGACAAGTATAATTGCAAGTTAGAGGACTTGCTGGATTTCTTTCTCCACCAGATTTTACCAATAGAAAGCAGCATCAGTATAATATTCTTCATGTTCCAAAAGGTATAAATTATAAAAATACAAAAAAGGCTATGAAATGTACTTTTTCTCTCTACTACTAACACCCATGAAGACTCCTTTTTTTTTTTTTTTTTAAAGTAAATAGCAAAAGATACAAGACTCAACACAATCAGGAGTGAAGAGCTGCATGTGCGTTCTGTCTGTGATAAGATAAATGAGTCATTATCTCAAGTTTAGAACCTTATTGACATAGCATCTGAGATCTGATGAAGTAAATCAAATAAATATACAATGGAAATATTTTAGGTGCATGATAACAGCAAAGAAAAGGTATTAACACCTTTCAAAATGGCATTTGAGGCCAAAACGTTCATCCACCGACCCAACAAATTTTATCACTTTAATCTCGTTTCCCTACAATAGTTGAAACTTATTCAAAACTATTTTTGAATCTTAGAATTAAAGTCGCCAAAAGATGAAAGAAGTTCAATTTCTTTGGGATTCATAAAAGGTAGAGACATCATGAAAAGAATATAGTAACTTATAGAATAGAAGACTTGCAATATTATTTTTTGAAATAATTTTGACTATTTAAATAACATAAAGTAAGAACTCAACAACGAGGCTTCATACTCTTGTTTATCAAATGGAATAGAACATCCCTCCACAGAGGGAATCGAAATGAGCAAACTTACAAGTTGCCAAGCAGATGTACAACTATTTATTTGGCAAAGTTAGACTCTAAGTATAAAAGTTGTGCATCTCATGTTTAAAGTTTTGAAACCTCGCACTCAAATGGATTTAAACCAAATTTTGCATTCCCATTGGTGAGTTCTTGTCCACTCCTAAAAATGGACAAGATATTAATTAGCAAATATTCTGCATCTTTTTGTCATTATTTATGAGTTGTATACAAGTTCTTATTTGAATTCGAGAAAAGAAGAAAGACTGATAAATTTTTATATAATGCATACTGTATAAAAAAATCAATAAAAAAAGAAAATGACAATTTCTTTAGTGCTACAATTTAAATATGTTTCACCTTTCTGAAAAAGGCATTTTTTAAACCATTTCAGCCATTTAATTAGTTAAATCACTTCCTAAATTGTCAAGTCCTTGTGTTTCAATGAAACAGCAAAAGTGGAATGCTTCAATATGATGCAAAAAATACGAGAAGAGAAAAACATAAAAGATAAAAGTAAAATAGGTAACCTACTAACTTTAAATCTAGAAGAAATAGGATAACCTTCGCAAAAAATCATCCTCACTTTTTTTGAGATCAGTAATTAGGGTAAAGCGAGCAGAAAATTACAATAAACTATTAAGGATGAAACAAAAAAAAAAAACACAATAACATTAAAACACATCATCATGGCTGAATAGAGAAAGCAACCTCCTTTTTCCTTTGTTCCTTTATCTAGCAATAATATAGAAAAATCAAATGCTGAAAAAATCAAATCAATTAGGAAAAATAAAAGACAAAATCAAATTAGATTAACTTTTTCTCAGGGTATAAAAACAAAGAACCTAAATAACATTTGGAACATATTAAAGTATATAAGATAATTATAATTAATATGTTAGACCATCAAATCTAGCACAGGGTATGTGAAACCGCAATATGAAGCAAAACAATGGCAACAAAGCCTAAGGATTAGCAGGAAGTGAAGCATTTATTCTGCCAAACCATAAATGACATTGAACACTAAACACATCAATGCACTTCCAAAGTTTCACATCCAATTCATATCAGTGCAATAGGGCAACTCATAGTCCTTAATGTGAATTTTAAAAGTTACAAAAAAAAAAAGTAATTTGCAATGTCAGGAAGACAACAATGATCTAAAACTCAAAATAGCAAATAGTTAAACAAAAAAAAACTTTTAAAGCTAATTTTATTGCATGCCAGGTGAATCTGTGAAAGGATTTGGGCCACTATATGCTGTCCACAAAAGGAAATATACAATCACATTGAAATAGGTTATATGAAGTCATTCATTGGTATTTTTCTCAAGCATGGAACTATATTTGTAATCACAAAAGATTGAAATAGGTAAGACGATGAATTAAATTGAAATAGGTCAGCGAAGTAAAGATAAGATTTTAATTCACTTTTTAATGGAAGTAAAAGTAAGAAATTATCCAACTAATTAGTACAAAATGACAAGAAAGGGGCAAAAGTATAGCTACGCAGCAATTTGATCGATTTTCTAGTTAATGATATGATTTAAAGTATTTAATCAAATTGTTAATTTACTTTCTACTTCAAACCAATGCCCAGCATATGATAGAGATTTCCTATCCTTGGGCAAACCTTTGATTACCTACAAACACAAAAAATCAATTAAAATTGCTATTATAACAAAAAAAATTTGCAGAAAGAACTTCTAGCGTTTATCAACTTGAGATTCACTATACAAACTATCAACAAATTTTACCAAGAGACTTATAATTTTCTGTACTATAAGAACAATTATTAACAAATATTCATTAAAATATGTATCATCACAAGATGCCTTTGGTAACTCGAAACTTCGGCCAATGATCAATTTCACATATGAGTTCATGATTCTTCAAGAAGACATGCAAATTGTATATAATTAGTATAAGGTATGCAAGTAAAAGATATGCAAACATGCACTACAATAGACATGCATGCATGCACTATTACTCTAGTTTAATCAAGCAAATTGAATAAGAAACCAAAATTAAAGAAAAAGTCAATTGAAAAAAACAGAAAAGGGAAAAGAAAAACAAATTCAGATTTTTTTATCAAAAAAATCATCAAATTCCGCATATGATGAATTCCAACCAGCTAAACCGCTCTTTCTTTTGGATAGTTCTGCCCAACCAATAATGCAAAACATAAAGAAGGGCCGAGATTGGAACATGAAATATTAAAATCTCTCCATTTGGATTAGCTATTTTTGGAGGTATTTTTGAAAAATTTTACTGTAACAGAGTTTTTTAGAGTATATTTTGGGATATTTTTAGAAAATATTTTGAAATATTTAAGAGTAGTAGAGTTTTTAAAATATATTTTAGTATATATTTTAAACATTAAAAAAAATTTAGACTACTTTTTAGAGTACTTTTTAAAAATTTTTATAGTATTTAAAAAATTAGTTTTTGAAAAACTGAAGGATCTAAATGATAGGTTGTCGAAGCCTGTGCAATAATAAAACCTGCTCAAACTAAAAGTAATTTCTGTAGATAGTGGTGAGCAGGGTCGAATCCACAGGGACTGGGAGTAATTGTTTCTTTCCAAACTCACAGTGACAAAGGGGTGTTTTTATCTCAGAGGTGACAATTTAAGCAATCCAACTAAAAGTAAAATAATAAAAATAAAATAGCCAACTAGAAATTAAATAACAATTTGCTAAAATCGAACGAGTGATAATTAAGGATCTAGCCAAGGAATAACTTCAGCAATGGTTCACCTAATTGATCATTGAAGCAAAGGCAATTCCAATTATTCATCAATAAATAGGTTATAACTACCAAACAAGCGATGGCAGTCAACCCCTCCTTACTGTGTCGGTGATCAAGGTACGCCCGTTAATCACTGCTCTAATTGAGAAATAATCCTAGGTACGCCCATAGAATTTAATTCCCCAATTGTCTTACGTATTAGAGGAGCCCTATTCTAACCAAATAACACACTACCAGGATTATTTTAGATTAGCCCGCGTATTTCCCTGACACAAATCTAATCATGTCAGTTGTCACTATTTTAGAGCAATTAAACAATTACGGATTTAATGCCCTAATTGACAATAGATTACCCAATCAACTAATTATCTGGATCCAAGACAATCAATTAATTAAATAACCATAAGCTTAGCAATCAAGAAATGTGCGGATACCAATAAATAAAAGAAAAAGATAAAATTAAATCGATCTCACAATTTTAGATGACCCAAAGCATCCGTTGTCCCTTGACTAGATAAAAGAGTTTAGCTCATTGTTGATGAGAAAAACCCATACAAAACTGACGCAAAAGCTGTGGCCATGGTCTCCGATTTAGTGGACCCAATTCGTTTGAATCATCAAATGAAAAGCTAAACTACAAAAGTGATTGCTTCATTCTAATGGTCCCTGCCATCCGCAGGGAGCCACTACTCAAAAACAGCCATGGAAAAGTCAAAGTGAAAAGCTCAAGCTACAGGACGAAAAGCTAAGGAAGCCAGCCGTCCTCTTTCTCTGCTATTTGTTTGGTTTTTATCCTCTGCCTTTCTCAGATGTGCGGCGGCCCACCGGAGAAAGGAAGACTTCAGCCCAAATTACAAAGGGCTCACGTCTTTTTTGTGTTCCCAAAATGCCCCTGTCAACCTCCTATTTGAATTCTTTCCTGATAACTGTCAAAATAGCAGTGATTGTGATATTTTTGATCTATTCCCTGAAATAAGTGCAAATTACGAAAAGTGAGTAGAATCCAACAATTAATCCACATCAAGTTAGGTAATAGGAGAAATTAATAATAAAATAAATAGTAAAATTGCAACCTATCAATTCCCCCCACACCTAAACCATGCTTGTCCTCAAGCATAAGAACAACAAACAAACACCAATATTTGATAGTGGCTATTGCTCTATCCAACAAATTGCCAAGATACGAAGAAAAATAATAATCAAGCATCAATGGTCAAGTCCAAGAAACATCACTCCGGTTAGCTTCTAAACCACAAACTCCTCTAATTTCAGGTTAACTAATCCAAGAAAAAGGAATGACGCGCAACGTTTATCAGCAAATGGTCCAACTATTAACCAAAATCTCAACATTAAATCCATAATTCGGCAAGCTGACTTTTATTACACACTAACACAACCTTCACTTTTTTTTCACATTTTTTCTACTTTTCTCTCTTTTTTTTTGTTTTTTTTCAATAGTAACAAAAAACCTAGTCGCTAGCCATTTGAGCCATTTGACGCGAACTCCAACATTGGCCAGATGAAGGAGCCCGGTTACTCAGTTTCTATCGCCACGTGACCACGTACTCATAGCAATTACTACTTTTTGACGCGAGAATCAACACTTTTAGGTGCAGATCCCTGGTTACTCAATAGTAACTAATAGCGGAGTACAGTCAAGTTTATGCATAGCTAAAAATCACAAAAACTCAATATAACACAAGAACCAAAAGAAAACTTGCATCAACTAGCCTCATTTTCAAACATGGAGAACTAAAGTTAATAACCGGACCAATTCACATGAAAATGTCAATAATCATTCCTTATGCCTAAGAAAGTTAACCAAAAAAATTATAAGAGTAAAACAATTATCGATATTCACCAAAGAGATGTTTTTGGATTCAACTACATTAACTTGATACCCTTTTATTATTAAAATTGGCAATAGTAGAAATAGAGGCAATAATCCAACATCAAACCTTGGCATCCCATACGAGCTAATCACTAAAAAAAAAGAAAAAGAAAATGAACGAAAGACACTAGCACCATAACTGCTCCCCCCACACCTAAATCCTACATTGTCCTCAATGGAGGTAATAAAGTAATGAAAGCGAAGAGAACAATGGAACTTCCCTGTTGAACAGCTAAGGGATAGGAGGGAACAATGGAGGGAAGCCGAGTTATGAGACATCCTTGCCACTTGGCGGGTGATGTTCGTCACTCTCTCAACTACGTGATGAATCTGAGCCCGCAAGTGGTGCGACTTAACATCAGAGGCCATCAGTGGGGGAGGCGCAAAAGAAGAGAGCTCGGGTCTTACCATTTTCTCCAAATGTCATTTCAATCAACAAGAGACAAGAATTGCCCACAGATAATGTAAACAGCAAATTCAAAGCAATAACAATTTAATAGTCACTGGAGCCCCCCACATATCAATAGAGAGCGACACAACTTGCCCACCCAAAATCTCTCTAAATATCTCCAATTGCACAAGAACAACCCAGTCACACATGCCCAGCAGTCAATCAAGTATCCAACCAAGTAGAACTGACACATGCAAGGGGAAATATTCCAACCAGTATCATTAGTGCAAAACATAGTCCAAAATCAATGAAATTGCTATAGTAGAGTAGAGCAGTAGTAAAGCAATAGCCCTAAGCATTAATCTAGTCACAAGAAAGATTCTAAACCTCTAAAGAAGAGCAATAGGCGACTAGAATTCCAATGAATAGAGCAAGTAGAGGAACCGTAGGTGGGAACCCAGTCCACCGAAGTCAATAAACAAACCCAGGAAACAAATAAGTCCGCAAATGAGTCAACAAATTGCACAAATGATCAGACCAAAATCACAGACACTGTTCCTCCAAATCAGCAATATAAACCAACATCCAAAATGTCCTCAAAAACTCGATTAAAAACTACTAATGCCAACAAGGAATGCAGTTGCCGAATTAAATCAACCAAAATTTCAACAAACACAACACTGGCCGAGATTCTTCCCAAAATATCACAGACAATTGTTAAAATTCCAGCCCACCCAAGAACTTCAACAAGTGCACCCAAAAGCTCAACAATTGCCCCCAGCAGTCAACAAGTCAGGCAATAGTAGTGCAGTGATTCGGCAATAATGACTCAATATATACCCTCAACTGGCAATCAGGCATCTACCCACAAAAGCAAGTGAAATTATCTCAACGACCTAATGGGTCAAAACACAGAATTCACTTCCACCCAACGAAATAGTTGAAGTCACTAAGATGAACACGTTAGTTAACCGTCACAGAAAATTCTAACAAGCAAACCAGCTCCTAACAGGGCAAATTAAGCAGCACAAGCTCCTGATTCAATAGGCAATATTAGAAATAACTCAACCAGAATCCCAAAAGAAACCTCAACGAACTTAGTAGTTGAAAGCAATGGTCAGAATATTTCTCAGCAATTCAATTAGATGCACCCGACTGGAGGAAGCAATGTAAATAGCATAGAAACTTCCCAATTTAACAAACAAGTGCAATATTTCAGCTTACCCAAAATTTCAACAAACGGCTCCAGTTGGCCAGTCAAAATCTTAATTCAAAATCAGCAATTTCAATGAAAACGGCTTAGATATTGGACACTACAAACGCAGCCAACCAGATAGAGGTACCAAATTAAGGTCTAGTTACTCCACCAGTACCACAGGTATAGCAAAATAGCACAATAATACGAAGGAAAATAGCACAATTGCTAGCACTGGTGCACCGCACAGTTAAGGCAAACAACCCAATTGCCACTCCAATCTACTGACAAACCCCCAAGTGAATCCAATACATACAAAAAATTGGGGATTTAGTAGCAAATACCTCTCCCAGTGACCGAATGAAGAAATCAAAGCGGTAGTGTCAAGGAGGACAGCAGCGGTCAATGAGGACAGCGGTTGTCAATGGTGGAGCAGGAGCAAGCGGTGTAGCGGAGCGGGTTGAGGTCCTCTGCATGGGCGCAAGACGCGGCAGACTAGACCAGGGCTGCGAGGGAGATGCGCAGAGCAGTGGCTGAGAAGCTGGTTGGCGCGCGGAGGAGCTGTGGGCGACGTGCGCAGGAGAGGCAGGCATCAGGTGTGGGTTGCTGGCGGCGAAGCAGATCTGGCGGTGGACAGCAGCGGAGAGAGAGAGGGAGAGAGAGACGCGGGCTGCTGTGGATCCCAGGTGGCAGTCAACGGCGGCCGTGGCCGTCGCGTGGAGTCGCAGGCGGCCGCGTGTCACCCATCGCGGGAGTGGAAGGCGGCGGATAGAGCAAAACAGAGGAGAAGAAAGAAAGAAAAGAGATAGAAAGAAAAAGAAAGGAAAGAAAGAAAAGAAAAGAAGGAAAAGAAAAACTGTTTTTTTTTTAAATTTTTTAAATGTCTTTAGGCTCCTTTGAAGCCACGGAAAAAAAAAAAACAAAATATTCCCTCTTTGAATTTCTGGGAACTAAACTACGGTGATAATAAAATATATATATTTTTTTTATTTTAGGAACAAGTTGAGCTACGGCATGAAGCAAAATATTGTCCCTCCCTTTTTTTTTTTTTGAATTTTGGAAACTAAAGCTATGGTGATAAGAAATTTTTATTTTTATTTTTATTTTTTTGTTGTTTTTGGATCCTTACCTTTTCCGTGAACGTGACGCGGGCGCGTCAAGAGGGCAAGAGAGCTCTCAGAAGTTTATGATCCTGAGCTTCCTGCTCGTCATCACGCGGGCGCGTCATGACTGAAGGTCACCTACAAATCAGCAAAAACGAAAATTAACACCCAAAATCAGTCAAATTCAAGGTAAACAGACTTAAACTATGACACGAAACCAACAAACAACTAAAAGAAACAATTGGGTTGCCTCCCAATAAGCGCCTTTCTTTAATGTCTTTGGCTAGACATTATCATGTTTTGTTCATGGAGGATAAAATCGTGTGGCTCGTTTTAATGCTTCATCCTCTATATAGTCCTGATAACCCTCGTAAATAGAATAATCCTTGAGTATACGAGCTACGGGCTTCCATGGACTAGTGAATGGCGCCAAACGAGTCGATGATAATTTGCATTCTCCATTCACTCCTCCCTCACTTGCATTTATTGGTTCAAGATATCTTGCCATCGCCACTCTTAATTTATTCCTGTCATGAAATTCAAAATTTTCTGGTATAATAAGGTCAATTTCATTAACAGGAATTGAAGAATAAGAGCCAGAAGAATATTGATGAAGGAATGGAGGAGATGTCACCGCATTTGGAGATTGTTCACTGGATTCATTCACTTGAATGAGTTGCGGTTGGGGTTCCATTTCTTCCTTTTCGGCTTCTTTTTCAACTGCATCTGTAGATCTCTCATTTTGACACTCTTGCATCTCCTCATCAGTAGTCAAGCAAATTGCACTCTCATTTTCTTCTAGATCAACAATGGTTTTCGAGGGCAATTCTTCCATTTGAGAAGCCCATCGATTCATTCTGGATGTCAATAGACATAGTTGATCTGCTAGATAACTCATTGCATCCTTCATCTTCTCATTCCTCATTTGTGTCTCCTGTTGGAATTGGTATGTATTAATAAATAATTCACCCAATTCCTGAAAAGACATACCTGACATGGACGATGGTTGTTGAGACTCTTGCTGTTGAAAATCCATTGGCCCGGTCGCATAATCAAAATTGGAATTATCCCACCATCCTTGATCATACCCGTTTGAATAAGGGTCATGCTGCGTTTGATATTGGGGTGAAAAATCTCCAAAAGTATCAATTGGAGCACTTAGATTATCTTGAAATACGGGGCATGTGTCAGTTGAATAACCTAAGTCAAAATAAGTTCCACAATTTGCAACAGCCCATTGATCATTAGGAAAAACATGAGTCTCATAACCCCATTCAGGAACAAAGTCCAGTCTATCATCAAAATATGGAATGTTAGCAGCCATAAACTATATAAAAAAAAATAAGAGAAAAAATAAATTAAAAATGAAAACAAGGTGAACTCAAAAAAGAAACAAATTAATCTGACACCAGTCCCCGGCAACGGCGCCAAAAATTGACAGGTTGTCGAAGCCTGTGCAATAATAAAACCTGCTCAAACTAAAAGTAATTTCTGTAGATAGTGGTGAGCAGAGTCGAATCCACAGGGACTGGGAGTAATTGTTTCTTTCCAAACTCACAGTGACAAAGGGGTGTTTTTATCTCAGAGGTGACAATTTAAGCAATCCAACTAAAAGTAAAATAATAAAAATAAAATAGCCAACTAGAAATTAAATAACAATTTACTAAAATCGAACGAGTGATAATTAAGGATCTAGCCAAGGAATAACTTCAGCAATGGTTCACCTAGTTGATCATTGAAGCAAAGGCAATTCCAATTATTCATCAATAAATAGGTTATAATTACCAAACAAGCGATGGCAGTCAACCCCTCCTTACTGTGTCGGTGATCAAGGTACGCCCGTTAATCACTGCTCTAATTGAGAAATAATCCTAGGTACGCCCATAGAATTTAATTCCCCAATTGCCTTACGTATTAGAGGAGCTCTATTCTAACCAAATAACACACTACCAGGGTTATTTTAGATTAGCCCGCGTATTCCCCTGACACAAATCTAATCATGTCAGTTGTCACTATTTTAGAGCAATTAAATAATTACGGATTTAATGCCCTAATTGACAATAGATTACCCAATCAACTAATTATCTGGATCCAAGACAATCAATTAATTAAATAACCATAAGCTTAGTAATCAAGAAATGTGCGGATACCAATAAATAAAAGAAAAAGATAAAATTAAATCGATCTCACAATTTTAGATGACCCAAAGCATCCGTTGTCCCTTGACTAGATAAAAGAGTTTAGCTCATTGTTGATGAGAAAAACCCATACAAAACTGACGCAAAAGCTGCGGCCATGGTCTCCGATTTAGTGGACCCAATTCGTTTGAATCATCAAATGAAAAGCTAAACTACAAAAGTGATTGTTTCATTCTAATGGTCCCTGCCATCCGCAGGGAGCCACTACTCAAAAACAGCCATGGAAAAGTCAAAGTGAAAAACTCAAGCAACAGGACGAAAAGCTAAGGAAGCCAGCCGTCCTCTTTCTCTGCTATTTGTTTGGTTTTTATCCTCTGCCTTTCTCAGATGTGCGGCGGCCCACCGGAGAAAGGAAGACTTCAGCCCAAATTACAAAGGGCTCACGTCTTTTTTGTGTTCCCAAAATGCCCCTGTCAACCTCCTATTTGAATTCTTTCCTGATAACTGTCAAAATAGCAGTGATTGTGATATTTTTTATCTATTCCCTGAAATAAGTGCAAATTACGAAAAGTGAGTAGAATCCAGCAATTAATCCACATCAAGTTAGGTAATAGGAGAAATTAATAATAAAATAAATAGTAAAATTGCAACCTATCACTAAACATATAATGCAAATGCATGTTAAGTACAAATACTAAAGCAAATCATATGATTTTTGTCCTAGACAAAATCTTCTTGTTTGTAGCAAATCTTGTCCACATCATGCCTGTGCTACCATATGCTATGCTATAGGCACAATAAAAATCTCCTCTATATAAGTATAAAGCAAATGACTTCCCAAAAAAATGGTAGAACTAAATTTTGGTGAATATATTGACATAAATAAGTGTTTTTTACACACTACAGTCTTCAAGACAATAAAAAAACACTGATTCCTAAAGTTAAAATATTTACCCAAGCAATAGTAACATGTCGAGATATAAAGACACTAAACCAAGTCAAATAATGACACTCTATCAAAAAAAAAAACACAAGTCAAATAATGATCTAAACATTTTAATGATATTGTAAAAAAAATATCAAATACTTAAAATTCATCCTAACTTCCCTAAATTCATAAACTCTGTATGTCTAGAACAAACTAACCAAAAAAGGAACTGAACTCCTGCTTAAAAGTACCAACAACTAGATATCTTAAAAAAAAAAAGACATCTCTAAAAAAATTACAATAACGATAGATATTTTTGTATGATAAAAAAATTATTGAAGAAAAAAGAAAGACCTAGGAGGGGAGATACTCAAAATAAAAGAAAAAATAGTAGTAAGACAAAATAGAGCGACATACCTTAGCAAGAAGATGAAATTGCTACCATGCGAACCTGCAAATCCAAACAATAGAAAAGAAGACGGTAACAAAAAAAATAGATGGTAAATAGCTACTTTCATAAAAGGAAAAAAAATAAAAAGCTATACAGAGAAAGATTGTAAAAAAAAAAATAAAAATGAAAGTTAAGGTAATTAAGAGAGAAAACCAAAGGGAAATACCCGTTAACTTGTAAGAAGAAGACCAATGTGTGACCTCGGTTTTGTCTTGCACTGTTATTTAATGTTCAATTAAAGAAGAAAGAGAAGAAGTGAAAATGCGAGAAAGGAGAAAGGGAGAAAAATCAGGAGAAGAAAGGAAGAAAACGACGGAATAGAAGCAAACACAATAAGTGGTGCACGCGAAAACTCTCATGAACCCTATCTATTCAATAAGGTGTGAAATCTCGATTTTGTCCTCAATTCAATTCATCAGCTCAATCAGTTGGAGGACTACCATAATTAGCCAACAAAAATGTGCCACGTTAGCAATTGAACTCAATTGAAAACTCTTGCATTCTCCAATAGATTAGATATGCAATGTTTTCAAACCCAGACTAGTCATGTGTCCGGTCCGGTTCATAGCTTGTGTTTACTTGGTCCAAGGACCGTTCAAACCGTTCAACTCGGAGCGAACCATGAACCGCGGTTTTTAAATTTTTGACAAAATTGACTGAATTTTGACCGAAATTATCTAAACCTAGTTTTTAGTCTTCACTCTTCAGTCTTCGACTCTTCGGTCTTCCTCTTCCTGCTTCCTAAAACTGCCTTCTCTATTTCCTTCTCCCCTTAATGGCTTAACCCTAATACCTTCTCCAAAGTCCATAGCCCAAACTCCAATCTTGATCCATAGCAATCAGCAAAAAGGAAGCTTGAAGTCTTTCTACTCACCGCACCGGTTCTAAGCCAAAAAACTCTGGAATTCAAGCTATTACCAGGTCCATTTATCCTTTTTCCTTTTTTTTCCTTTCTTTGTTGATTACTGGATTTCGGTTATGATCTCTCCCGTCCTCTCGGCCCTCTGTGGTTGTCGTTTTTTGGGAAAAAGATTGAATTTTGTTGCTTTGTGGTTTCATGTTTTGCCTTGGAATAGGTAGATCGGAGGCCATATGTGAATTTCTGGATTGATATTCTATGAATTTTTGTGGGTTTTGATTATTAGTTATAATTCTTGCACTGCAGTTACGAGTTTTGTAGCTGTAGATTGGTCCAGTTGCAGGTGGTAGATCTGATTTTGTAATAGCTGATTGAACTGTACTGTTATCTTCTTTTGGTTACTAGTTCAGTTGGAACTTTTGTTGGAAGGGAATTGGAGTAGTGTCATAGTTGAAGAAGAATGATGATGCCGTTAAATTCTGTTTCATTTTTGTAAGTTGTTGCTTGAAAGATAAGATAGTGTGAATAAATTTTTGTATATGTTTGTAATTTTCTTGCTTCAGAGCTGCACAGCTAATTGGTAAATTTTTTGTTGCTTCATTTTGGTTCGAAATTAGCATGACTATTAAGAAACTAAAAGGATCTATCTTCTTTTTTCACTATGAATTGGTTTACGGTAGTAAATCATCATGGAATTAAAGAAGGACGAATAGTCTTAATCATCATTGATTCTACTAAAATTATTGCAATGCATCAAAATCATTTTAAGTTTACAATTGATCCACTATAATGTGTCTCGAATCACTAGTAGCACTAATGTTCATAGCCATGCATAGTTTGACATATTAGTAAAAGCTGAAATTGTAATTTATTTATGATGTCCAGTTGAAATAATCATTAGTTTGATGCAAAAATAAAGCTAGTATGATATGATATTCAATTGTTGAATATGTATATAATTAAATTTGCTGATTTTTTAGATAATGAAGATGAAGCTGACGATATTGATTTAGAAACATTTCAGTGTCGAAACTTTTTTAATGATGATGAAGATGATGATTGGCATTAAATATTCAAATGGTAATTGGTATAGAATTATGTGTACTCTTTTATTTTTATTTTTAAGATTTGTATCAGTTGATGTGATGAAACTAATATGAATTTTATACTTTTATCACTTGCCAGTGATTCATATAATTGTCTTGGATGATGATGACGACTTGTCAAGACGGTTTTTTTTGAAGCTTTGTTGTCCCAGAATGACGAAGAAGATTATAGAAGCCTTAGAAATTGAACTTGTTTGGACCTTTTGACTGTTTCTAGACTTGTATTGTTTTTTGTTAATTCTAATATTTAGACAATTGGACATGTAAGTTCGATAACTACGATATTGCTCTTATGTTAATTGTGGTTTAGCATTTATACCTTATTCTGTGCATAGGGATGTGTGTGTGTGTGTGTGTGCATATATATATATTTATTTATTAAACCGGGATTGAACCGGTCCGAACCTCGACCTTTTCACTTCACCGGTTCAATTGACAGTCCGGGTTTTAAAAAATTGTAGATATGTTAATAACAAACTAAGTTGGCCTTTTATTTGAAATGATTTAAAGAATTGTTAAGATTCATACATATGATGTATGTGGTAGATTAACAATTCATGCTATAGATAATTATTTCTTACACTTTTTTACTTTCACTAATAACTACTCAAAAATGGATACATGTGCTTTTAAGTACAAATCCAAATTTTTGAGAAGTTAGAAAGTTTAAACATAAAGTAGAGAAATAAATTAGTGAGTATTGGAATGCCTAATTTGATCAAGATTTCAAAATTATCTAAAGGAAAATGAGATTTTCAAATAAAATAATTCTTTTTAGATATCTGGATTATTATTGAGTAATCTAGATAAAGAATTATATCTTATGAGATAAGATGCACGATGCAAGTTTACCAAAAATAGTTTTGGAATTTGTTCAAGATAAATTGCCTCTTATACACTAAATCTTATTCTACATTTGTTCAAAATATACCATATGAGGTATGAAGTGTCAAAGAGTCCAAATCTTTGTAAAAGATTGGGTTACTTTACTTATGAAATGGGTGTAATCGGACCAATTGAAATTAAGATATGATTAAAATCTTTTTAGAGTGTTCTTGAGAAATAAAGGATAAGGAAAATTGGCCAAAAAGAAGAAGAGCAAATTGGTTCTCTGTGCTTCGTTGGTTTGATTTCTTTTAATTTATAAGTTGGAGTTTTCTTATTTTCTCCAAAAATGTTACTTCTATCATTTCCATGAGTAAAAAGTATTTTATCCCTAAAATTATAATTTTATATCTAAAATTCTAATTTTCTAAATAAATGGTTTATTCTAGATAAAGTAGTAAGAGTAAGATAAAACTTAAAATTTGAAAGAGTTTCAAATACTATAAAAAGAAGTTGAACAAATGCATGGAGTTGGAACTTGCATTTCATCATTATGAGGCGTAGCGAAAGTTCATAAAACAAGGATTTTATAAGTCTTAGAAACGTGGATTTCTTATGAAAAATCATGATGTTTGATCATGAAGTCCCAAATGACTTATAAATAATTTTACAACTCATAAAAAGTGGTTTAGAACAACAAATCTAAATTGGATTTCATATTTGATAAAAGGTACGAATTTGAGTCAATCCATCTAAGGGTATAAAATGCCTATTAGGTGCAAGAGAGTCTTTACAGTAAGGACCAATATGAAAGGTAAAATGTTGCCTGTATAGTTTGATTGGTAGAGAGGTTATCAATGAAGATAAGTAATTATCTTTAAAGAGACCTTCTGTCTAGTCAAAAAGTTTAAATTCATTTAGATTTACTTACTTGTTTTAACTGTGAGTTTTAGCATGGTGAATAGATAGTAAAATCACTTTTCTTAAATGAAATTAATAAATGATTATGCATGTGACATGATGTAAAGATTCTACATCTTATATGCCAATAAAAACAAGTTTCTAAAAGTTGTATCATCTATTTTAATGAGATAATCAAAGTGTTTAATTTTATCAAAAATATGGATGGACCTAGTATCAATATGTGATTTAGTGGGAATTATTATAGTTTCCTTGTTATTTATGTGGTTGATATATGATACATGAAAAAAGATATACCTATGCTTTACAACTATAAATATAGCTATCTAAGATTTTCTCCATGATGTTAAGAAGATGCAATCTTCATTTTAGGAGTAAAGATCTATGGTTATAGATTATGATTGCTAATTATATAGACAAGATGTTGAAGACATTTAGTATGAAATGATCTAACAAGGGTTTTATCTATAGAATAATTCTTTCAATGTATTAGACTTATTGACTCCTTTGGTCCATGAAGAGTTAAGATTTGAAGTTCGAAAATATACAAGTAAACAATTTTACAAAGATAATTTGCAAGCAATGTTGGGTTTGGGTTTTATCCCATAGTTAGTGGGATAAACCCAAGCCCAATAGGCAAAATACAACTAAAATTTCTACAATTAAATCTTAACAAGTTGCTACTTGAGAAGTGGCAAAGGAAAGTATTTAGATCTACAAGTTCAACTAGGAATTTGGATTGGTTCTCTCTATTTTAAGTCTTTCATCCCATATTGTGACTATGATGCAAATTTGCCCTAACAAAAGAACCAAAGTCTCATCATAGATCCATGGACTTGTTAAGCTACTGTCATATGATTTGGTGAAATCATTAGTGGAAATAAAAGTGAAGATAGAAAGAGTACTCGTGGATGATGCATTGTTTGATCCGTTTACTAAAGCTTATCTTAAAGAAAACATGATGGTCATGTAAGTTCATTTGATCTTTTGACTTATAATTGATTGGTTTTAGTGCAAGTGGGAAATGGAAAATGTATATGCCCTAAAGTCAATAAACTTCTAGGGTTTAATATATAGTTGAACTATTTATATTATAATAAATGACATCTTTATCATATTGATTGTTTATATATTTATATAAGTATGATAAATCCCTTAAAATAAATCTAATTGATAAAATCATAAGAGTTATGATGATGAGATTCATTTGACTATAAACAAAGTTTATTCTTAAATATTTGTAGTCAAAGTATTAATAAGAAAGGGCATTGTTAATACAATTAAATTAGCATATACTATGTTGCTTCTATATGAGAAAGTAGGTCTCATCTACTATGATGTGTGAGACATCTAAACTAGTATATGGGTGCTTGATAAGATGATCAAATTCACTAAATTGACCTGCATAGAGATATCGTTTAAGTGCCAAAAGATTAATTTCTAAGTGACATTTGTGTAAGTGATTTTTAGATTTAAATTTATCACAGTATCTTGAGTAAGTGATTTTTAGATTTAAATTTATCACAGTATCCTGAGTACGGACAGTTATACTTTGTTTGCTATATGATTGCACCAGTAATAGAGAATGGTCATATCATTAACTTATGGGTATATACTTGGAATATGGAAAGATGATGAATAACGTATAACTATTTATCATCTCTTATGAAAGAGGAATTATCTTGTGTTTGGCTGCTTGGAGAAAAATAATTCAAAATTTTTAGTGCTAAGTAGAAGAGTTTTAGAAAGTATTTCTACTTCTTCATTGGAGTTATATTTTGGTACAAGAAATGACATTAATCATGTCATGAAATAGGCACAACTTTTTCCAAATTTAATGTGAGATAAATATGGTAAAAGGATATTCATCACAAGTAGATCATGTGGTGTAGAACGGTCTTGTCCCGCTAAAAATTTCATTCTTTGTTTGGCGTTTGGTTAGGAACATACTCCCTCTAGAGTTGACACTCAAGAGACTCGGTCTCCCGATCGTATCCCGCTGCCTCTGCTGTGGGCGGCATGAGGAGTCGCGGAGGCATCTGTTTATTATGAGCCCTGTTGCTTTCCAAGTTTGGAGATATTTTAGGAGGCGGTTTGGTATTATCGACTCCGTATTCTCGTCTGTCTTGTCTCTATTACTCTCCTGGTTGTACTCTAGCTCGGTGGGAAAGGTGCGTCACATTCGGGTAGTGGTTCCGCTACTTGTGTTTTGGTGTCTGTGGAAAGCCAGAAATAATGCTAGATTTGGGGGCATGTGGTTCGAGGTCCCTAGCGTGATTTTGATGGTGGAACAGATGATCGAGCAGTTAGGCACAGCGGGTGTGCTCTCGGCCATACATTTTACAGGCGATACCGAAGATCCATGGGCGGCGCTAACGTCCCATCCCACCCGTAGAAGGGATTGTGTCGCGGTCTCGTGGAAACGTCTTCCACCTCTAGCTTTTAAATTGAACACGGATGCCAGTATTTCCTAGGGGCGGATATCCGGAGATGACATCCTCAGAGACTCATGTGGGCGGGTTGTGTTTGCTTTCTACAAGGAATTTGGTGATAGGGAGGTCCTCATCGCAGAAAGTTTGGCATTACTATAGGGTCTATGCTAGGAACGGCACATCCAAAGGCTTCTAGTGGAGGTTGATTCACAAGTTTTGGTCCAATTGATCCATTCAAGGAGGGTGTCAAAGTGGCCGCTATGCAACACGCTGCGTCGGATATGCCATCTTCTTACCTCACTGTCGTCTTCAGTGTCTCACATCTTTCGGGAGGCTAACAGTCCTGCTGATATGCTGGCAAACTTGCGGTGGGAGACTGAATGGTTCTGCACGTCTTCTCAGCAACTATCGAGTTTGGTATAGGCTTCTGTACTACTCGATGCTAGGGAATTCTCGTCTGTACAACTTCAATTTGCCTCACATTAATGCCCTCGGGTTTATGCTCTAGATAGCTGTCTAGTTGGAAGGGATCTGTGTAATCTTGGCTCTTGGTCTGATTTTCAATAAAGTTGGTTTTTCATAGTACAGATCATAGAATTAGTAGGGAAAAAAGCTGCAATTTACAATTATAGAATTAGTACGAAAAAAAAAAGTCATCCACTTAACTTTTCTGATTACTTAGATGGCATGATGTATTATTAGATGCCAATCTTGATTTATAAGTATGAGTTCATTTATTAGTGGAGTTAATGATAAATTAAAAGGAATTTTAATTTATCTAATTCTTATTTATTAAGAATTATGACTCATTCTTATTGCCAATGTACATCAGAGCCTAATGGGTCACACATATTAAGAACTTCTTTAACTGAATTAAATGAATTTCAAGTAGAGCCTTGATAGATAAGTTTTTATAACTTATAATTTAATTTATGAGACAAATTAAATTTGAGGGATTTATAGTGCAAATAAGTTTAAATATTTCCAAATACAAGTGTTATATTTGAATAAGAAAGTTGAATCCTATTAGAAATTGGTTTCAGGCTTCCATAAGAATATGAAAAACTTACTTGTCTATAAATACTCACCAACCTTTTGCTAGCAAGATTGATTGACACACAAATTGTCTTGTGAGATTTTTGAGAAAAATACCGAAAATTCGTCTAAGAAAATAAGGAAAAAATCACATCTTTTATTTTTCTTATTGGGGCAAGTTTTTCATGGTGAAAAATTAGAGTTTTCTCAACTAATTTATGAGAGGTGTCTAGACAATAGTTAGTGTAGACACCAAATTTTTAAATAATTTTTATTTTTTATTTTTAGTGATAATTCTTTTCTATTTTTATTTTTGTTAATTTCATGTTTTTGGTCTTACATTTTTTTTAGCATTTGTATAGCATTTTAGATTATTATTATCTATTATTTTATTTTAGTTTTTATTTTTATTTCGTATTCATTTTGCCCTCTTGGCTGTTTATCTTTATTTTTAAGACTTTTAGCATAAAAATTTGTCAAAAGAGAAAATTATTCATTAAAAAAAAAAGCCAAAACAAATGTCATGCGAGCTTGCCCTTTTTCTTCTTATAAGCAGCCGAAGCAAAGCGGAGATATCAAGAAAAACAAGCGCAATTCCATTTTTTTTCCCATTGTTTTGTCCATCATTTTTCTTTATCATCGGATGACTTTAACTCCATTCCATTTGGCTCTCATCAACACCCTTGATGTGAGGGTTTAGAGAGTTGGGTTCTGATATAAAAGGAAAACAGACCGCAAGAAAAGAGGGGGGGACAGCTGATAAAAAGAAAGAAAGGCTGCTGGAAAAGAAAAAACTAGAGGAGGAACGGCAAGGAAGAAACCGAGAGAGAGTCTTTGAGACGGCTTGAGAGAAGAGGGCTCTGGAGATAGCTAAGGGGCGGTCGAAGGGAAAATGGAGGAGGCTTTTGACGGTGGGTTGAGTGAGGAAATGAGAAAAGAAACCAGAGAGAGGAGATAGCGGCTAAGGAAGAAAGTAGAGAGAGTGGCTACTGAGCATTGGAGAGGGAGATATGAAAATCATAAAGAAGGGAGAGATAGGACGGCTGGGGGTGTTGACGGCTGGATGAGAAGAATGGGCGACGGCCGAGAGAGGAACTGAGCGAGGGGGAGAGTCTACGACGACCACCATCCACACGAATAACCCTGCTGCGACAACCATCACCGGAAGAACCTTGCTGTGACGAAGTTTCCTGGGCCCTCGCTTCAGCAAAAATCCTCACGACTTTCTCGGAACGTTTCACCTTCATTGAAAAATAGCCTCATCAGGCAGAGGGAGGTAACTCTCCAACCCCTCTTTATTCATTCCAATTCATGTAGAAGGTAAATCCTCTAGATAAGGCGCGGGTTATTGTCATGTTTTGGATTTCGGTTTAGCAGGCTGCACTTGTTTGTTGCTGAACTATCGTAGCTATGGTCGTTTACTTTAGGAAGAATCCAGTCCAAGCTTTTAAAAAGATGGATTCTTCCTTAAATCTGTTTTCGAATTTGTGGTTGTCTCGGACTATTTCCTTACAGTTTCGTGCATTTCATAGGACAAAGATGTTTCCTTTTCGTTGTCTACCTGTGTTTCTTTTGGGGATAGTTTGCTTGATGATCTTGTTTCCTGGGACCAGATAGTTTGGGTTGAGAGATGGTGCAGCAACAGTCATTACTTTTTTGTTGAGTTTTTGCTTTGCATCTGTGCTGTTTTCTCGTATGTGTTATTGAATTTTGGTGGGAATAGGTATGTGAATTTGTGTTGCTAACAATGCTATTGAGGAAGTTCCTGGTTAAATGAAATTGCTGCAAGTCCTCACGTTGCTTGCTGCATTATGCCTGCTGCCTTTTGTTATGTTGTCTTCATTCTCCTTTCTCCTGCTTGTTTATTTGCTCAAGTAGTTGCTTTTATTGTGTTTCGGTGCAGTCTTGTTGATTTGCTCAAAAGTTTGTTTGAGGTTGGTTTGGCCTGATTTGGTTGTTGGTCTGTTTTGCTATTGAATGGCGAGTTATGATATATGTTTGCTACCATTTAAGCGCAGAAATGTATGGCATAGTGCCAGGCCAAAAGAATGGCATTATCTTGTAGCTTTAGCTATTCCAACTCTGTTTGAAACTTCGTTTGGCCGCAAGTTTCTCCCTTTGCACATTTGCTGCATTTTTCATAGCTAGCTGCTCCTTTTACTATGTTGAAAGTATGTAAATGTATTCTGGTTAATGGTAACATTGGATTGAGGTTGTTACACCTGAGTTTGGTTGGAGTTTATCTGCATGAATATACTTCGGTTGAAGAAGAAATGTTGCAGAAAAATGATAGTTGGTTTTTGCTTTTCCATCGCTACACATGTCCTCTATTTGGTTCTTCATTTGTCTTCATTTGATCTTTAATGGTTTAGTGCTCATTTTTGGGTTGTGTTAATCAAAGTGTCCAGATGTTAAATGATGTTAAGTGATGGTCTTTGCTGGTTTTTTGAAGTCTTGTATGAAATCTATTTTGGGAAGCTTAAAGTTGCGGAAAACTTTGAATGCATGTTACAGAAGAAAGCTTTCTACGTAACATGCATGCAAGAAGTGTTGGAATTTGCTTTTTTACTCCCCTTAGCTTCTATCTATACTACAAAGGCCCAATCATGCTCCAATTTCTTGCAATGAGGTCCTAAAGTAATTGCAATTTGAACCATCACTTGACCTTTTTTCATTTCTTATGGACCTTGGAAGTTCTCAAAATATTTAATTGGATTTGAGTGATTGGTTAATATTTGCAATTGGGTCCTTGGTATTTTTTCTATTTTAGAAATTTGATCAATAATTTACTTTCTTGGAAATTATGCATTATATGATTACATCTCAAGTTGCAATTGGGAAGGATTCGATGATTTATTGGTAACTTATTTTGTATTTTTGTATATATCTTACCATTTAATTGGTACCTTGACCCTTTTATTGTTTTGAAACTAATGTTCCCTTCATTTGATTACCATTGCAAAGGAGGTACACTCTATCCCTTATTTTCACTTTATTTGACCCTATGTGTCTATGTGATTTACGTGTTTAATTGCATGCCTCTTGAATGTTTATTTATCTATTTCATTTATTTATTCATTTGATTTATTGGATTTGTATATTTATTTTTAGTTCAATTTGATCATTCGAAAGACACTTGAATGCTAAATTTGTAATAGTTAGGTATTTATTATTTTATTTATTTTATTCCGTTTCCCCTCTTAGATTGTAGTAGGCTTCCCCCGAATGTAATAGTTAGGATTTTATTTGCTTTATTTGCCTTATGTGTGTTTTGCATGTTTATGTGCTATGTGTTACCGCTTTCTTAGGGTCTTGCATCTAGATATCATGCCTATGTGCTATGTGTTTTATGTGATTTATGTGTTTATTTGCTTTATTATGCTTTATTTGATTTATTAGACTACAACAAATGCATGTCGTCACCACACTAATCCAACGCTAGTTGTGGCCCTTCATTCCGATTTTTCACTAGTCCAACGCTAGTGAGAACTCATAGACAAGGGCTAGTCCAATGCTAGACCCTTAGGGACTTCCTACGCTAGATCATATTTGTGTGACTACATTACATTTTCATGCATATTTTTTCACATTTTAGGATTCTTACCATGTTGCATGACACTTCCTTATATATGTACATCCTTTATCTCATATTCCCTTCTATTTATATCCCTTATTCCGTATTCCCCCTTATATGTATATTATTTACCCCTTTGTATGAAACATGACATTAGACTTGTATTTCATCTAAGTATTAGACCTAGGGTAGTGCATCTGCTTGATTAGATAGGGAAATAACCCCTTGGGTATGGGATATGGACGAGTTTGGCTCTTTAACCTTAGCACGCTCATATTCCCTCTATTAAAGGGAACATTGGAGTCATAAACATTAGTTCCCCGCACCCGACATGATGCATTCTTTTAGGCCACGTATATTTGCATAATTACTCTTATTTTCCTTTTCTTTCTTCGAGTCTCACGACTTGCATTATTCGTGACTACTTCGAAGAGTCTTTATTGGGCGTCACAATTAATGTGATTGGTACCAAGTAAGATTTGAAAATACATTTTGACCCTCTAATACCCTCCTAGGTCTAGGGTTTGCATTCATATAGAACATCCAAATGTGATAAATTTTTAGATTAAAATAAGAAAATTTTTGATTAAATCGCGCAACTAGCCTTGGCTAGGTTGAAAGGGTGCCTTGGATTCTTATCCTTGCCTTCCCTTTTTTCAAATGTGACTCCCGAATCTTTTTCTCTGACTTTCGTAGACTTGGAGTCGTTTAAAAAGGGTTTGCTACTTTTTTCTTTAAAATTCATTTTTAGGTAACTTGGTACACCTCAACTCAATACCAAGTGGCGACTCCATTTTCCATTCCAAAAACCCTTTTTAAACTATATTTTGGGTTAAATCGTCACATTTTCAAGTCCCATTTGGACCCATATTTTTCATTTTCCTTTTACATCAAAAATTCATTTTTCAATCAAAACTTGAATCAAAAGCCATTTTTCTAAACTCGTCTTTTATTTTTCTTTGTTTTCAAAAAATGGGG